TAGAATTCAAGGAAACTTTGGAAGTAACCTTGCAGCATCTGCCCTTTTATTTCCCAGAATATAGGGTCTGAAACTATTGTACTGACAAAAATAAGGAGGTTTCCAGATGTCTCTAAAAGAAACTGGATATGATACTTAAGTGTCTTGCAGTCTTGCTCTAGCTGGACTTCGGTCCCTAAATTATTTTTGAGTATTAATCAAAGGTTTGCGGTTCCACTGATGGATATCTGCTCAGCATGTTTCAGATGTTGCATCTATAGAATGGGGCTGATCTCAACAACTTTAGCATGAGCAGAAAATCCCTCAATTAAGGTGATACTGACCTTAGCTCAAGTTAAATTGGATGTTAAATTTGTGCAGAGATTTGGTCTCTCCTGGTTGCAGTGACTAACCCAGGTGGCCTGCAGTGGAATGTTAAGGGCTTGTTTTATAAAATTGCAATTTTGAAGTAATTCTTTATGCTTGTGAAGTAAGATAAAGAGTCACTGATCTACTGGCTCTAGAAATGGAAGGTTTCTTAGACATCACCAAACTATCCTGAAAGATAGAACCAGTTCCAACAACAAATTAAGGTTACTGCTGAAAGCTGTTTGCCAAGCAGCAATACAAGCCTTGATCTTTTTTCTCAGTACTCTTTAATGGGCAGAAGAAATGTTGTTTCTTTTCCTGTCAGGCAATTTACATCCAAGATTCAAAAGACGGAGTAGTGACTGGGTGACCTTGACTTGCACAGAACAAAGCTTCAAAGAGAGTTAAACTGTTTGAGTGAGCCTGGCTGGTCTTTTGACAATACTCTAGTATTGCTTTGGTTTACCCAGAGTCCACAGGCACAGACTTATTCTAATTGCAAATGCCTACATAAGGTGGCAATCTGAGAGATTTATAACTAATTGCAATGATTGAAGTGTTAATTCTGAAGTATCTCACTAACAAATACCTTTTTCATGTTTCTATCTAGTAAGTAAGATAAATCTGTGAACAGGCACTTCAGTGCACATCAGTCTTGCTGACTAAAGCTCATGTATTGAGAGTTTGTTATGTGAAGAAAATTACTTATTAGAATAATGGCTTTGAAGTTGCATACAGGGCTGGCATCATTTGGATGAATGTATTAATTTCATATAAATTAAAATAGGGTTTCATATTATGGAATCAGGGCCAGGTGCACTAATGAGGACAATCTGTATATGCAATCCACAAAGGCCCCTAATTTTGGACATCAAGAAGAGATGTGCCTGGCAGTTGTGGATGTATGTTTGTACATAGCCTGTGCATGTATAATATTTCTGCTCACTTAATTCACACATGGGCATGTTTGAAAATAAACCCATATATTATTTTCCTTCTTTTAGCAGAACTAAAGTGACTTTCATAGAAATGCCACTGAAGCCCAATTGCACTGGAAGACAGATCAGTATTCAAGCTGTCAACAAAAAGACTGATGTTGGTCATAAGTCCTATTATCTGACAGCCCTGATGTGGGCTTGAGTTGAGATACAGCTGTGATCAATGCTACTTAACTGTACCATTAACTGATGGCTCATCCACACATGGTAGAACAGAGACCAAATTATGCTGAAAAGCACTTATAAATGGGGTTTCTACCTGTAACATGACTCTGATAAAAAAGCATAATCTCTGGATGACACATTTTTTAGGTGTACTTAAGCACAGCACCCAGTGCAGCTGTAACAGGGCAGGGATGATTGTGCCAGAGCTTGGAACTGCACATACTGCACAGGGCTAGTAAAGAGGCAGCTGTGTAATGCACTTTCTAATATTACCTCGCATCCCAGCAATTCCACTTGATTATTGGGATACTGACATTTTATTAGCTGGTTGTGCATCACCTCTGCACAAGCACCCTCTAAGGTTTTGTATCCCAAGTTCTATGCTTATTGCTTTCTTAGAAGTTACTGAGAGGAGGTTGTGCTGTATTACAGCTGGCTGGCTCATAAATTCCCATGGCATATGAAGATCTGAGCTTGTACTTCCTGAATGTTTTTCACACTGAAATGAAATAAAAGTCATTGAAATAGGCAAGAGTGACTTGTACATGCTCTAAGCTGGCCAGAAGTGGTGACTTCCCACAGGGTTCTTGGGGACCCCAGTTTTGTACCTGTTTTGTCTTGGATGGAGCAGAACCCCAGGTTCCAGGTGAGCATCCTTATTCTCATAATGTACCACTCCACAGAGTACCTTAACTCTGGTTATAATGGAGTGTTCATTTCTTCCCTGTCTTCCTCTCTGGAGTGGACAGCAGTGTCCCTCAAGGGGCTATTACATATTGCTATGATACAGTATACAGGAGGATGACACAAAATTGAGCCTGTGAATGTCCTACTGCTAAAACGGCATTATTTTATTTTGAAAAGAAATATTAAATATCACCATTATGACAACAGGGAATGAATCTTAATTCTCTTTGTCTAATTTTCTACGTAAAAACTTCATTATTTTCAAACTACCTGCTGGGTTTTGTTTTGCCTATTTGTTTTTTTATCAGATTGTGCTTCTAAGGCTAAAGCATGTTGGATGCCTGGAAGCATTTCTGTTTTCAGTGGGAACCTCTGTTAACATGATTCAATCATTTGTAAATGCAGACATGCACTCAGCAAATTTGATAAGCCCTGAGATTAATTTAGATGCACAAAAATGGTGAAATAGCCTAATCCTTCCTACAGAAGATAATGTTTAAACAAATTTATTTCATTCAGTGAAACACCTGGGCAAGTTTATTTAATATAGTCTTTGCATTTAATTATCCCCTCTGATGGAGCACATGCCATATTTCAAAATATGATTATTTTCTTTGGTATTAATTATTTTAAGATCCTCAAAGGAAACCAGGGGAGAAATAAAAAGGGGGTCTTAATTAACCCGAGCCACCAAAAGTCATCTTACTGGAATAGAGAAGATGGAATATGGAACTGAAAATAAATAGTGCTTTAAAAATCATGAATAATGAAGAATAGCTCTTAAAATCTGAAAAGAATTCTATATGAAGGAGTTGTTGCTAGGCATTAATGTCAGAAAGGCACACTTCCACATAAAACTGTCTTATAGAGGAAAGACAGTAATGGAAGAAATATTTCTGTGAAGAAATCAATATGCACAAAATTATTGCCAGAAGTCAAGGAGGTGCAAAATTATGATATACTCAGAGAACAATACAGCCCAGATTCAGAGTCTTCAGTTCTTTTCTCATTTTGCTCTTGTGGGGATGGCATAAAGGAAGCTATTCCTTCTGGGAAGAATTTATTCCACAATATATTTCTGGCAAAATATATTTAGTTTTACTAAAAATGGTGTCACTGCATAATCCTATTACTCCTGTCCTTGCAAGGAGTACTGCATGTGAGAACAGGAGACTCTGCTCTCCTCACCACAGCTGGAACTGTGGTGAGGAGAGCAAAATAGGGGTTTGGATGTTCTTATTCTAGATAGCAAATCAACACACTATGGCAATTTATGCATGTGTAATTAAATCACCAGGGCTTTTTGCTTCATCATTGCTACCTGAAAGGATATTTGCTGTGTGAATTTGCACAGGACAAGTGTATGTATCCTCTAAATGTTGCTTTGCTTGCCTAAGCACAAGCAAAAGGGAATTGTGCATGTTTTAGGCAATTATTCAGTGTTGTAGTCTCATGTTACTCTTGTTTAATCATGTAATGGTATTTTGCTACTTGAAAGTCTAAATGCAGTCTTGCAAAGATAATGTTATATGTGCCTTAACCTTTGCAAGAAGCCAGACAGCACCTCATGCTATTGGCAGCAGATCTGCCTTGTATTCCACTGCTGCTATGAGCTGTATGTTCCATGCTCTGTAGGTGTGAAAAGGGATTAAAACCAGTTTTACAACAGAAGTAGCTGTGGCTTTTATTCTGTCAATTACAAGGCAGTCACACAAATTTTGATTTGCAGTCAAAGTGAAAGCAGTTACCAAATCATACTCCTGCTTCATCTGGGAAACAAATTAAGCTGTTTTATGCCACTTGCAAAAGTAATTTAAAGTCAACTCTCACAGTAAACAATAAGACTTGGTTTTCCCTTAGTTTGTCAAAAGGCATGAGGTTTATTTCACTTTTCTGCAGATACTTTGTGTAGGTGCTTATAATCTCTCTTTTTCACTACTGCTCATTCCAGTGCACTTGCAAAAGCTTTGTTGGGCTGAGTCTTGATGCTGAAAGTGTGTGTTTTCTCTGGGAAACTTTTGAAATTATAAAAAAATACTTGTGAAATATTGTAAATAATGAGAGAAAAAAATGTTTTCTGATCATCTGTTTGTGTTCTTTGCAACAGAAACATTTTCATGATCAAATTGAAATATATTGCTATTTTGTCACAGAATTGTACTCAAGCCATTCCCAGAGACAGCATGGCAAGGAGCAAGTTCAGAGAAGAGCAGTCAATATGGTCAGAGGGCTGGGGTACTTTTTCTATAAAGGCAGACTGAGAGCTGTGGCTATTCATCCTAAAGAAAAGAATCTTCTGGGAAGAATTTAGAGCACCTTCCAGTGCCTAAAGGGACCACAGAAGAGCTGGAGAGGAACTTTTGACAAGGGCATGGAGTGACAGGACAAGGGCAAATGTCTTCAAACTGAAAAAGAGTAATTTTAGATCAGATAAAAAGAAATTCTTTACTGTGGGCGCAGTGAGGCACTTACAAGTTGCCCAGAAGCTGTGGATGTCACATCCCTGAAAGAGTTCAAGGCCAGGCTGGATAAGGTTTTGAAGTGGAAGGTGTGCCTGTTCATGGCAGGGGTGTTGGAACCAGATGATTTTTAAGGCCCCTTCCAAACCAAGCCATTCTATGATTCTATGAGACCCATATTCCTCTCCTCTGTCAGGTGGCAGTGAGCTCAGTCCCTCAGCCCTCTCTCTGAAACCCTCCTTTGAATGTTGTGTGATATTCACATATGGCATCTTTAAAGGTGGAAATCAGAGTCTGTGGTGTCTCAAACAGGGCAGGAGTTCAGAGCTGTGCTGTCCTGGAGATGGTGGCAGGGTCAGCAGGTGTCGGGCATGCCAGCAGGCCGGGTGCTAAGGTGGGCTCCTTGTCCAACACACCTGGGTGTTGGACCTGGTGGCTGTTCCTCTGCTGTTGGAGGCCTCTGGACGTGCAGATAAAATCACAGCACCAGACAAGTTGGAAAAAGCCTATGAGAAGATTGAATCCAATCTATGACCGAGCCACCACTAAGTCACTATGTGCCACATCCTGCCTTTCCTTGAACACCATGAGGGATGATGACTCCACCATCTCCCTGGGCAGCCCGTTCCAATGTCTAGAAACCCTTTCTGTGAAGAAATTCCTCCTAACGTCCCACCTAAACCTTCCCTGGTGCAGCTTTAGAGTATGTCCTCTTGTCCTGTCCTGTCGCTGGCTGCCTGGGAGAAGAGCCTGCCCCCCCACCCCCCACCTGGCTCCAAACTCCTTTGAGGGAGCTGCAGAGGGTGACAAGGTGACAAGATGACCCCAGGGCCTCCTTCCTCGGCAGCCCCGGCCCTGCTGGGGTCCCGGGCTCTCGGGGGGGCTCGGGGGGCGGCGGGCGGGGAGGCCGGCGCTGAGGAGGAGGAGGAGGAGTGGGAGCGGACTGAGAGGGTAAAAGCGAGAGGAGCGTGAAGGAGCGGGGCTGGAGGGCAGCGAGCGGAGCGAGACGAGCCGAGACTGCCCGGCCGGGCCATGGCGGGGCTGCGGCTGCTGCTGGGGCTGTGTCTGTGGGCGCTGTGCCCCGGCCCGGCCCCCGCCTGCAGCCCGCGCTGCCGGCACGGCGGGCTTTGCCTCGCCGACGGCTCCTGCCTCTGCTCCAAGGGCTACGAGGGCGAGCGCTGCCAGCACGGTAAGGCGAGGCGGGCCGGGGCCGGCACGGCAAGGCAAGGCGGGCCGGGACGCGGCAGGGACGGGCACAAGCGCTGGTTCGCTCTCTGTCCTGCCAGCCCCCCGGCCAGCAATCCCTGCGGGAAGAGCTGGGGAGATGGGGTTTGGATCTGGTGTGAGGCGGGTGGTGAGGTGCTGGGAAGGACCTAAAGGAGGCGAGGTGGAAGAAGAGAGTTAAGGCACTCTGTATCACACTCAGTGATAGCGAACTGATGGAGCGCAGCCAAAAGCCAGCATGAACACCTCAACGTTAGTAAACCGACCCTGCTGTCGGGAATGGCCGTGGTCCGTAGAGAGCTTTTTGCCACTTGGGTGTTGGGTAAGAGGTCACTCGCTGGACGGGCTTTGGTGTTTTATTCCTCCTACTGCTTTAACTGCGTGCTGAAATACTTCCTGTAAGTTTTTAAGGAATCACAGAATCAGCCAGGTTGGAAGGGACCAGGAGGTCATCTGGTCCAGCATCCCTGCCCAAGCAGGGTCATCCTAGAGCACAATGCACAGGATTGCATCCAGATGGTTCTTGAATGCTTTTAGAGTCTTGACAGCATTCTAAGCTACAGCAACATTTAATTATTATCTCTAGGTGCAATTAGTCAGGACTAGTCGCTAAGAAAAACATCAGAGTGTATAGAAGGTAGGTTATTTTCTGGATTTCTTTTTATTTGGAATATGCTATGCTTTTAAAATAACTGTTGTTTAGTTCCTGGATGTTACTTGACACACAGCCATTTGTACATCCTATTTCCACGTTAGGAGGTGTAAAGCTAGGGTGGAGTCTCTTCCTGTTGGTTTCCATGGAGACACAAAGTATTTTTTGAAAATGCCCCCTAATATGCAAAAGCAAACATCATGAAGAAGAGTTTTAGTTTAAAAACTAAACCCTGTTCAATGCAATGCATAAAATTTCCAATTTTCTTGTTTAGAAGTCTAACTATAGGTCTATTGTGGCTATTAAATGCTAAAAAATCATTGTGTCAGGAGCTCCTTTGCTTTGGATGTTGTCCTATGTGAAGAGGTGATAAAATTGTACAATGTTTGTTCTAATTTTCAATGTTCTTCATTTAAAATGTGATTTATTTTTTTTTAACTCTGAAATGAGATGCTGAAAATTTCATTCAGCACTGTAATCGTACATGGACTGTTGTTTCATTTTGAGGCTGAGGGTAGCAGGTGGTGACAAATAATGTATAGCCAATGTGCTGTGTAGTGGAGATTAAAAACTGTGCTGTATGAACTGTTTCAAAAACTCTTGGTTCCTAGACATTTTGGGGTTTAAGGGAGAGGTGAAATATTGGTGGAGAGGCAGAGCAGTTCTTAAATTAGACAGGTGAACTGTCTGGAATTGTTAAGAAAACCACTGGATCCTTGTGCTTGTAAGCTCATCAATCTAGAAAAAAAAATGGATAAATGAAGCTTCATCCTTTGTTCTGTCAAAAAAACCAAACTGAAAACTGTGTGAAATAACACAGAAACAGAATTTTTCTAAAATTGGGAGCTTGTGTATGTATGGCGCTTCCCAAGAAATGAGAGCATCTGGTAAAAGTTATGGAGAGCTGAGCACTGGCTGTTTTTTTTCATACATCTCTGTCCTTTCTTTGCCTGCTAGTACTCATTCTGTGGGTACTAATGTGAAAAGTATTCTTCATATAGAAGAATACAGTATTCATAGAGTATTCCTCTATTCAATTGGGTGTCTTGAGAGTGCAATAAGTATATGAGGACAAAATCAGGATGGTGTTACTCATTGTTCATCTTTTTTACTTTTCACCCATCCAGTCAAAGAATAAATAGGGAGCTCATCTCACACCATCAGCTAACTCAGATGAGACTCCTAGAAACAGATGGGTTTCTAAAACCTTTGTGTGAATAAACAAATGCTTTCTCAGACAGCAGGACTAATTCAGGGGTGATTATGACTTGAAAAGAGTCTACATGGTAGGTAATTCATTTGCAATCTGAATGAATTTATTCAGAATTTTACAAAATTGAGATTTTTATTCATACTTTATCAAACTTGTTCAAGCTGTCAGCAATGAAAAAGTTGCAGGATTTGTGATGATCATAGATGCTTTTCTCCCAACAGATTATTAGAGTTATGAGAAAAGATACATTTATCTTGCATGCTTGCTAAACAAACACTGTACATTTCAGAAAGGTTTCTGAAAAGCCAGCTGAAGCAAAAAAAGGCAAAAAAAGAGTGTGGGGGAGAAAGAAATCCTGACTTACTTCTGGAGACATTTTAGAGAAGAGGTATAAGGAACAGAGCATGTAGTTTTTCTGAAGAGGAATGTAGGAACCCAGTAAAGAGTAAAAAGTCTGATATTTCATCTTTAGAATCACATGATGCCTCTCCAGTTGCAACATCTTTTTATTAAATCGTTTCTTCTTATCACCTATTTTCTGTTATTTCTCCAGTTAGCAAAAGCTTTTTTGGCATTCCAGCTGTGTTCCTGTTTAATGGGGATCTTTCTTTTGCCTGTTCTGTCCAGGCCCAAAACATTCTTTAGTTTTGAGTGCTTAAAAGCTTAGTGTGGTGGAATGCTCCCCATGCAGGGAAATGATTTCACCTTCTCAGCAGTGTAAGATGACATGGCAGATATATTTAGAAAATATTAAGACAAACTGATGAAAATATAATAATGTGCAATTTTTAATGTATTTAAGTAGTAACTTTAGTAAGATTCACCAATATTTATCCAAGCTTTCTTTGTTGTCTGTCTTACAGCTACATGTTACCCAAAATGCAAAAATGGGGGAGAGTGCCTGCGACCTGGAAAATGCAGATGTCCTCCTGGCTATGGGGGGAGATACTGTCATAAAGGTAAGACCCAAGGAGGCAGTAGCTTGGAAAGACAAGGAGTTTGAAAACAGACTAAATTAATTTAGGATGCCTCAAGTCCTGGGTCTAACACACTTTGAAATAACAACCTTAATTCTGTAAATCTCTGACCTTACTATCAAGACAGGCATGGCCTAGAGGATCTGCATGCTTACAGGAGGATGGGATGGAGTATGTGTGCTGAAATGTGTTGTGAGAATCTGAGTGAGTTTTTTTGCCTTGGAAAATACCCTTTTTATGTGCTATGTAAATATTCCATTTAGCTTTATAACAGATTCTTTCTGAATAATTTATTGAGATGGCTTGTGTAGATACATATTTCTGCATTAAGTGGTTGAAACTTTTATGTAGTATCTGCAAGATGGTAACATTGAGGGCCAGTCACTGAGGATATGTGTGGCAATGTATTGTTGAGAGGTAATGGGAGATGACAGAGAAGGTGTAGCAAAGATCAATTTTGATGGTTTTGTGAAACCTGTTGAATATATGCATGGATTGGAAAAGGCTGTCCAAGAAAACACTGTTGTACAAGTACAAACTTGTGGTGTGGGGCAGTGTGCTGTTACAGAATCTCACAAAATCACGGACTGGGTGAGGTTGGAAGGGACCTCTGGAGGTCATGATTTCCAATCTCCCTGCTCAAGCAGGGCTACCTAGAGCCAGGTGCTGAAGGCCATGTCTTCATGGCTTTTGAATATCTCCAAGGACAGAGACTCCACGATTCCCAGGGCAATCTGTACCAGCATTTGGTCACCCTCTCTGTGAAACCTGCTGATGATCTTCTTGTCCTTAATGTGGCTGGAAATGGTTTCCAGAGTCAGTCCTGGCATTACCCGACTAAGACCTGAGGTGAGGCAGACCAACCTGTAGTTCTCTGGGTCCTTCTTGCCCTTCTAGAAGACTGGAGTAATATTTGCTTTCATCCCCCAGTCCTCATGCACTTCTCTCTGTCACTGTGATGGATCAAATACAATCAATATTAAATACATTAACTTACATTATGTCACAAAGTAATATGCAAGCAAACAGTGAAGAGCTTTTCCAGCTGTGCTGGGTTTGACTTGCATGTCCTTGCATGTTCAGTATTTGTGCCAAAAATCTGTTAGCTGAAATTGTGCTTGATGCTTGTATTTGAACAAGAGATTTGGATATTTTATCTCTAAATTATCAAGCAGACATCCAAACTGTCCATCTTTACAGTGAAGGATAGTTGTTTTCCTTAAATACAGTGAAGGTGGTATAGAATATACATTACTGCTTGTGAAAGGAAGTATTTGATTGTACAGAACAGTGATTGTGCTCTCCACAGTTGATACCAATCATATGTCTGGCATAAATAACGTTTCATTAATGAGGCCTTCAGGGCTTTGATGTGTAGAACAATTCTGAAATGAGGAGGCTAACTCAAATATTTGGCCTTTGGGAAGGCACTGCTTAACTTGACTGTAGTCATAGTTTCATTTGTCAAAGTAATATCCTCTTCTCTTCTTCCTCTTGCTACCTGTAGGTCCTGTCAGGTAAGGAAATACATGAATCCTTCACCCCATGTTATTGGCTTACCAAGAGTCATTTGGCAAGTTTGATACCAATATTGGCATGTTGTTAGTTCCAGTGGTGTAGCTGATGAACAGCAGTGAGAGTAGAACAGTGTCTTGCCCTGAACAGTTGAAATTTTAGTTTTTGCATATGTGATAAAACAAGTAGTTGATGTCAGATGAGCTGTTTAAAGACAATTATCTGAAGTCCCATGCTGCTTTGAAATGCCCAATGTATGCTGTGTTCCACAGTAAGCTGTGAAGGAGGCTGTCAGAATGGTGGGGAATGCATCTCTGTCAATGGAGTCGTGAAGTGCCTCTGTGCTTCTGGCTGGACAGGATCAAGATGCCAGGAAGGTGGGTGTCTACATTCATGCAAATATTTATATTCATTCTAAAACTGCAGTAACAAAAACATTTTAAATGTATTAATGGAAATGTCATTGCATTACTACAGAAATGAGTGACCTACATTATGGATGCTTACACAGATAAAATAGTGTGAAAATATTTTGCATTAAGGTATACAACTGTTCACATTTAAACCAAGATTCATTACACAGTACCTATTTTTTTTTCCATTTCCATGGTCCTAGAAATGCTTTTGGAGTTATACCAGTTGAATATGTGGCCTAGAAGAAAATGTGTTTTGCCATTTTGACTTGTATCATCCTGAATCTTTCATTCTGTCAGGATTCTTTTACATCAGTTTTATAAATCCTGCTGACTTACCCACTCTTTTTCTTGTAGCAATTTGTCCTCAAGGTTGTCGGAATAATGGAGCTTGTGTGGCTCCTGGGATTTGTAGCTGTCCAGCTGGATGGGTCGGTAGAGCATGTCACTTAGGTAAATGACTTCTGGCATTTTTCATTTATCCTTTCCTCTGCTTGTTTGATTTACCAATCAAAGTGTTCAAATCTTCAGGGCCTAACAAAGCTTCCAGGGAAAGTATCTTAGAATAATAACTGAGAGCTGCTTCCGCATACTGGGGCTCTTGCAAGTATGTACAGGGAGTAGATGGCTGTTCAATTTGGTCAGAAACACATAACTTTTTCACTTTGAAAGAGATTCAGATTTTGGTTGTCACCAAATTAATTACTTGGTATGTTTCATTGGTATTTCTGAAATATTGTTTGTAAACTGAGACTCCAGCAGTATAAAGGAACTGAAAATTACAGAAGTACTATTGCTACTGATGTGGGTTAGAAGCTTCATTAAATTTTATAGACATTTAAAATTTAAACTTGCTTCTTACTTTGAGGATAAGTTGATAGAATCAACTCCATGTGTTCTTAGAACTCTGAAAGCTGCCTTCTAATCAGGATTAGTACTGGCACTCTTGCTGAACAGCCACTTCCATTTTCACAAACTTTGATTCACAAAAGCAGGTGATTGTAAAGTCTTTAATCTTCACTTCTTGGGCCTTGTGTGCTTGTAACAGCACTGCCCTGATGCTAAAGGCAATAATCCTGAGACTGCAAAAGGCAAGGGTTTCTTTTTTTGCTCTCTGGGAGTCTGAAAAACCCTCATGCAAACATTGGTTTTGAAATGGATATTGTGGGTTCAGAGTCTCTGGATTAAGTCCTCTGCTTCTGATATTTTCTCATGGCTGCAGGCATGGCTGTGGCACTAACTTAGCTAGTGTTAGTTCTTCTACAATATAGATGGTCCAACAAACATTAACAAGTAATATTTTGGTATTCCCATTGACCATCAAAATGGGTTTATATTCATCACTGTATTGAGATAGAGGGTGATATTAAAAGCCAAGTGTGAGAGTTGCAGAGAACTTAGAGAATACTTAGCTCCCTGCAGCTGCAGTAATGGCAGGTTCTTAATGTCAAAATAATCAGTTCCCAAACTAACTAGATCTGCATCAAGTTTGACTTCTTTTGTGTACATGCTCATACATAAATTGCTGCCCCTGGCTTGTCAGCTGAACTGGTGTGTAGCAGGGGACAGCTGAAGCTGTGCCCACTCAGCCCTCCTCTGCTCTTTTGGGGGAAGAGGAGGGCACTGTGTGAGACACTGTTAGGATGAGGTGATTGTCTCCTCATGGATGTGGATCCAAGCACTGGCTTCAATAAGTTTCAGCAGGAATTTTTATTGGTCTCTCACTTCTATGGGGGCATCCATCTCAAAAAAAGCCTGTGCCTTAAAGAACAGAAATTATAGTATTTTAAAAGGGAAATGGAGCGTGAATAAGACTAGACTGTGCCTGTATTCCAGTGAAGGCCACAATGCCATAAATTGAGAGACATTGCTTTTCAGTTCTTCCATTATACTTTTATTTATACTGTCCCAGTGCAGTCACCAGGGAACAATTCTGCTACTGCAGTGAGACAAAAAGAAAAATGATCCTGTGTTGTGCTGAAGATATGCTGTGTATCTGGTGTCTCATTTCAGCTGTGTGCAAACTGCCCTGCCAGCACGGAGGGAAATGCATCGCTCCAAATGTGTGTAGATGTCAACTGCCATACTCTGGGCCACAGTGTACAAAGAAAAGGAAGGAATGAAGCAACTTCAGACAAGATAGTCTGCATTTCTGCATTTTTAAATGTGACTATACAGAGAGGAAGTCTGCAGCAGTGGGGGACCTTAAAATAAACATGGTAACTTGATTTCAGACAAATTTTTGTCCTCACTATATTAAGTACATGCTTTTCTATATGAAAGAAGGTATTGCTGATTGTAAGAAAGTTGTTACAAATATCCAGCTGTGTGCAGTGTATGACACCTTTTCTCCACATTTTTTCTTTATAAGCAAAAGTATTATTCTTGATTGATACAGCTGACCTTGAAATAAAATTTTTCTCAAATCAAGTCAGAATAGATCTATGCTCTTCTTTTCGATTTTTCTCCCCTTTGACTAAACTTACTGTGTTATATAATTACATTTTTTAAAAGCACATGAAACAAAAAGCCCTCAATTCACATCATCAGAAGTGAATGCTAGTTCAAATATAATTTGCCTTGAGATTAAACAGTTGCAAGAAGAAACTTGCAGAGTTTGCATCTTCCTGGAACATTACCAGACTGCAAAGCATCTTATTTAAATCATGGTTATCACTTTATGTCTGCTTGCTGTCCCTCCCTCTCCAATCTGATCTGGATCTCAATCAGCTAAACAGTATTTAAAAAAAACCCCAATAACTAGCACTCCCCCACCAATTTTTGTTCAGTAAATTCTGCTGTTACTTTCTAAAAGCTTAATCCATGCTGATACTCTGAGAGTTCTTATCTTGACTACTTCTAAGGTCATATTATCTGATCATCTCTCAACATCTAATTATTTCTTTTCCTTACCCCAGTGAGACAGGGAAATGATTTTTTTCTTCTGGATACATTGATAATTCTATGCTATTCAAGACTGTGTTGTTCTGGGAGCAGTATAATGGGAGGCTGCAGACTAGCAGTGAGGAAAAGCACAGGATTTGTGCCTGTCACAAGTCACATGTGTGGGGGATGTTGATGTCATCTTCTGGAGATGTTCCTGTTTGGCTTCATTTAGGTTTTGCAGCCTTTTGAATGAGCTGCAGAACGGACTGAGTCTTCTGTGTTCATTGTTCCTTGTCTCATTTTGCTGTTTTTTGTATGGCACTGTTGAGGAAGGCTTTGCCAAAACATGCAAACTGAATCAGTGAACTTTCCAAATGATGCTCAGATCAGCTTTTACTTTTTGTGAGAGATTGATATTCATTGTCTTCTAGATGTAACTGGAATTTTTTTTTTGTGTGTGTGTGAGAATTTCAGCTATGCATTACTTTCTGTTGGAACAACATTTTAACAGTGTTTAACTACCAGAACATGTAACTCTCATGGGCAGTGACTTAGGTGGACCTGTTTCTCCTGAGATTACAAGCCACTGAGCAAAGAGGGAAAGGTAATGGGGTCTTCTCAGTCACCGATCTTCTCTACAAGAGGGTGCCCAAGCGTGCAGAGGGCAATTGAAAGGCAATGGTTTAGTTCCTGAGACTCCTGATTCCTGTCCTGAGGGATTGCATAGCTGAGCTTTCTCCTGGGCTTGCTTTGGAGGCTCAGAGGAAACCTGCTGCAGAGACCTTGTGAAGGATTTCCTGCAGGGACAGGGCACAACATAAGAGGAATGCACTTTTTTTGTGCTGCTTTTGCTGGGATACACTGGCTATTTCAGACCTACTGTTGAAAATTTGATTCTCATGTGTGGAAAAAGATGATTTCATTAATGATTCTAAAATTTTATAATGATAATGATGATGATGATGATGTAATTCTGTGTTACAGTCCACTGCATCATGCCATAATTTAGAAATTCAGGAGTTAGGTTGAATACCTTAGGTGACATAACAAACATTCCTCTGTTTGCAGAGGAATGAATGGGAAAAAATTACTTGCACCAGACCCAAAATCTAGAAGAAATAATCAGTACAATATAAATACAAAGAAGCATAATATCTCAGTATTATTCCCAAAAAGACCAACTTCTACTAATAAAGACAAAAGTGACAGTAATAGTGACTAGAAGCTGGAAGAAATATTGGCATTGTCAGGAGCAAGAGACCAGAAGCAGTCGTTGAAAGATCTGTAATTGGTGTTTCTGAACACGCCAAAACAAATGCTAATTTAGTTTCCTGTTTAGAAATGATTGAAGTAAGCAGTAATTTGATGCCACACAGAATGCAGTAGCATATTTCAGAAATATTACTTGAACATAGCACCATCTACTGGCTACAGTCTTCTTCATGGTTTTGGATTTGTTTTTTATTTTTTTGTTTAAGAAATATTTCTTCTTATCATTCAATTAAACTTTAAGTGAATTTAAAAGTGATTTTTCTAGTTAGCTAGAGTCCAACAATCTTAGAATGTATTATTAATGACAGTCTGTGTCCCCAGATTATTATTTCCACAGTTAAACATACTAAAAAGACTAAAAGAACTGCCAGTAATTCTTGTCTTTTGTTTGTTTTCTGCTTGCTAGAGGATTGAACATACTAGTTACAGCAGGTAATTTTTGGAGATAGCTGTGTCTTCCTGTGGGGACATAAGTATGCATGAAGCTCAAATGTCAAGAAAAGCAACACAGCACATGCTAGATCCCTTATTCATTAGAGCTAACTGTAACACCTTTTGCAGAGACTCTGATTTTCACTAAAACAACTGTAAAAATTTTAGGGGTATTGCAGTGGTTGCACTTTTGATACTCTGTCTTTCTAGAGTGTGCGTGGAAAGTGAGGTGTTTCTTCTTTTTAGTTTACTTACATGTATATTTTTATTAATGTTTTCTGTTTTAAGTGCTTCTGGCAAGAATGGATTTACTTGGTTTAGCTGTAAAATACCATCTGCTAGCTAGACTGAGCTGTGGGCAGAAGTTGGTAAAATGACCTGTTATCAGCATATGACACCTTTAAGTGACAGAAATTGCATAAACAACTTTAGTTATTAGCAAAACTTTCTAACCTCTACATTTGGGGTTGTATATGTACGCCAGTGTTAGATTTTGAGAATTTAAACTGCAAAAGCTTCAGTTTGATACAAGTTGCCCTTCATTCCTCCAGAGTGGAACTGCTTCAACTCCAACCCTTCTCCCCACTCTCACATCCCCTAACTCTTTTGGGCCTAATTGCAGGTTACAATTTCAGCAGTTCTGTTAACCTCTGTGCACAAGCCCTCTATATAAATCCACATCTTGTTACACTGGGCAATTTTACTGTATTGTTGCCATATGCTTTCTAATTACAGTGAATTCTGTTTCATGTTTATGATGGACAATGTAGTAACAAAACAGTTTCAACTAATCACATAATTACTGGGCAGTTTTGAAGTAGCTATATGGAATTTTGCATGTACTAATAATTTTTCTGCATCATGTGCTTGCTGGAAAATAGCAAAAATAGCACAGCTTAGCACTGAGCATTTTTAGCTACTGTAGCAAAACTCTAGATGTGCTTTTTTTCACACAGCTTGCATTTGGAAAATGTAAAAGAAATAATTTCTTCCTTTAAAACCATTGAAAATAAACAGCAAACACAATTATAATAAAAACCCCTTTATTGAGCCTGAAATCTTAGAAATGCACATGTATGTATTAAGTTTTGTGAGTGAAGGATTGCCCAAACTCATTAACCAAAGTACTATTAGCAGTGCTCCAGAAAGATGTTATCTTTCTTTTTTGCACGGTACCTCTGTAACACATGGAACAGCAGGGATTACAGTAAGAGATTATGTCATATTGGTGTGTTTGTACTCTAAAAACTTCTTCAGTACCTTGTGGAGCTACTCAGATTTTGTTCATCAACATCTTTTTAAGATGTGGGAAAGGAAGTGTCCAAGAGGAGTAGATTTTAAGTAATGTAATGGTTCCTAGATCATCAGGCTATCAGCCACATTGATGCTTGATTGAAAGAAACTGTGGAAACACTGAAATGTAAAATGCAAGTGGGAAATTGGACCTTTTTTAAATACACCAGTCAGGCACTTGGAAATCCATGAGGTATCATTCTGGAATGATGCTAAGCTCTCAAAATGCCAGCTGACTTTGTAAGATGACTTAAAAAACTATCAAAAGGTATGGAGAAACCTAAGCACAGAGCTGCTAACAGCTATCATTTGGTAATCAGCATCCCAGAATGGCAGTAAATGGCAAAATTATCTCTATTTTCTTCCTGTTCAAAATTAGTGCATATAAACTGAATATTAATCAGGAGAACTGGAAGTCATGATGTTTATTTTTGGCTTAAAAAACCAAAGCAGTAAACTTTGTCTCAGCTAAAGGGATGTTTGTGTCTATAATGTTTGTTATGGCAGGAGCTGAAATGTCTTTCTCAGCTCTAGGAGAAGATAACAGTCCTCTGTAGGAATTTTATTTTTTCAAAAAGTATCTGGCAGCTGGTAGGTGCAAACAGTTCATTGGAGCAATTTGTAATGGAAAAAAATCCTCTGTGAAGTCTTTACAAATACTTTCTGACATGATGGTATAGATGGCATGATGTACAACAAATTTCTCCTCTTATTAGTTCCTATTTTAAGAATCAGCATTGCTGAAAGCATTGTTAAATTCTCTAAGAGTCTTGGGAACAAAATTTCCTCATACTACTAACTGCCATCTCAGACAGAGGCATAAAAATCTTACAGACACAGGAATAATTCAGTAGCTGGCTCTTCCAGTTTGTGACTGGAAGTAATGAAGTCAAAACAGAAAAGTTGGGATCTGGCTTCTGTCTGCAAAGGCTTGTCATAGATAAATCAGAGTCATTCTGCATCTGGCTGGCTGTTAACAGAGCAGGAGGCCTTGCCTTCATTGTTAGTAGCCCAGTCTCAGTTCTGATTTCCCCTCCTTCCTTGATACTGGCTTGTTGTTACAACAAGACCAATGGAAATACAAAATAGGAAAAAACCAGTTCTGCTTTTTCTTCTGTCTGCAGCCAAATAATATCTATATAAACACTGTTTGTAAACAGGAGCTACCATCCACAAGTGCAGAAGTGCTGCCTTCCATGCTAGTCACCCAACAGCTGCTACAGTCTTGTTCCCTCAAGAGAAATTCCATAGTCCAGTTGAATAAACTGCAGGATTTTGGGCTCAGTCATGTGATCTGGGAATTCAATGAAGACATCAGAGGCTGTGGGGTTTGTACATGAGGTAGCAAAAAATTACAGGAATATACGTATGTTTTAATGACTATAAGATGGTTGTTTTGAAGCTCACCAACCTTTGTGATTACATGAATCTTTTAAAATAAGGCTTCTGAATATTCCTCTAATTGAAATGACTCTGAAATTGCCTTCAACCCTTTTGCTGTTTTCAAGTCTCATTCATCCATGCAGCATTG